CTTGTGATGCCCCAGCTAGAGAGGTCTTACTCCTCCATAACTAATTCTATAATAATATGAGAATGTTTTCTAGTTTATTCTTTCGCTTTCTCACTTGTGACTTGCATTTTTTTGTGTACCTAATTACTTTTCAGCATATCCCAAAATTCCAAAAAAAGATTATACAAACTAAATTAGAGAAGTTTTGTTTTCAGTTGTGATAGAATAAAGAGAACATGATCTTTCTTTTTTCGAAAAGAGATGGGCAGCTCTAGAAGAAACATCTCCTAATTGTGCTTTAAAGTGTCAATACTTTTGATGCCTAAGGTTGAATTGAAGAACAGTCTTGATTATCATCTCTTTGTTCTCGGTAGAACTGCAACACCAATTCCGTAAAGCATGTGCATTATATTACTTACTACATATGGGAACGTAAATATATCTATAAAAATAATTCTATAGACAGTTAGCTACCAATCCAAACCGAAACCAAAGACGAAAATTAGAAAAAGTAGCCAGCAAGAACAAACAAAATTGAGAGGTTTAAAGCCTAAATGCAAAACAAATATAGAAAATGTGAGTTAGAGGATTATAATATAGTGAACCTCGTGTTGAGATCAGATTTGGAAACTATGCCGGTGTGGCCTGTCACGTTGACCAACTTCAGTTACTTCACCGGCCTTCTCTCTGTTTTGTTGTCGTGTTTTGGGAGAATATGTCTAGTTTCTTCTTTACATCACTGAATTCATCTTTAAATCATGCGCAAACGAAATGAAAACTATAGAAGTTGAAGGTTTAAACCGTAAGTTGCATTGATTTATGTATTCAAATATTTACAAAGAAATAACACAAAGGCATCGTTTTCAAGGTTTTGTTCTTTGACTTCTCCATCCCTAACCTTGCACCAACAGCACAAAGGCATGACCGAACTGAAATGAGTAGGAGTTGAAAGATCTTAGTAATCTCTCAAGGAAAAAATGTTTGATGATAATTTAAGCATGGGATCATCATTTTGTTTCTTTATTGTCTTTGCTAACTAATGCCTTCTACCGTACAACACATAGCCCACCAAAAGTTTTAGAGAGCTGTTTCATTGCATAACCAATGCCCTTAATCGTTATTATACTTAAACCGTTTATTGTATTCACTCTCCTCCATTCCGAATCTATCACTCTTTGGGTAGAATATCTAAGGGTCTTTATCAACAATGAAGATTAAACCATCAAAAACTATATTTTATTTCAATTTGTTTGGTCCATCTTCGGCTTGACAATTAACTCCTAGTATAACTCCCTCGCTGGCACAAACCACAAGGCATAGATAAAACATATTTCAACCTACAAAGTGAGAACAAAGTAAATGAAATGATCTGATCAGAAATTCATTTTTGTTACTAATCAATCGTAGCAGCAATTGAGTGGGGATATATGAAGGAGAATATTGGTGGTGGGACAGAGAAAGACTCTTCTGGACATTTTGAGATCTATTATTTTAATAGGTAACGCTTAAGAGCTAATTTCCTTTCCATAAAATCATTTCACTGTAATTCTAAAAATTCGATGAGTTTCTCTAAGGTTTAGTATGGGATATTCAATATATACCGCTGAGGTTATCAAAGCTTTGTCAACTACTTTGTAAACTATTCGATGAGTGTCTCTAAGGTTATTAGTTAAAAGCTTTGAATAATAAAATCAAGAAACTGGAATATTGAAAGAGATATGTCATTGTAAGAAGTAATTCGCTTACTCCATTTAAGATTTTTTTTTATATTGTATTCTCAGTGTTGGACTGGAAGTTGGTTTCCATGTTAAATCATTAATCATTGATAAACCGATATTAAGGGTCGTCGCTCAAAGGTCTCTGGTCAGGACCATTCGTAGTTGCTCACCATTAGTCGTTATCTTGACTGCAAAGACATGGTTAGAGCCACGAAATGTAACTTCACCTTTGTAGTCGTTATTCAAATTTGTCTTAAAGTCATTGGTTTTTTTTGCCTAAACATGAACCTAGTCTTAAAAAGTGAAACACACAAATGTTATTAAAATGTTTTAT